TTTTTTTTCAATATTAATTCTATTCATAAAATAAAATAATTTTCACATTGTCAAACAATTTAACTTTTAATACAAGGTCCTTTTAAGTTTTGTTATAAAATATATAAGAAATAAAGATATATAGGCACAAAATATAGCAGCAATTTTATATAAACATTCAAAGTTTTAGTTTTGAAAAGTTCGTTAAAATAAAGATCATCTGCAAATTATTTTAAAACAAAGAACGTATGAAATATCAAATTGTTCACAGGTCACAACCTATAAGAATAATTACAAATTTAATTCAATGTTCTAGATAGGTTCTCCCAGTAGGTCATACTTAACCAAAATTATTCTTCTTTTTTCATTTAAAATTAATTAATTTACAATATGTACTGCAGTAATAGTTTATGAGTGATAAGTATAAGCTTATATTTTTGACTAAAATTATACATAATAGCAAATAATGTATATATATATTTTTGACAGGCACTCAATAGAGGGCAGTGCCACCCGATAAACCGAAATTCTAAAAAACATTTTTGCACAATTTATTTATATAATTACATTTGAATTACAAATTTATACAGGCCCGTACTGGTCCACCAAGACACCGGAAGTTTTCTGAATGCACTCCATGATCAATTTAGAAATTATAGCGCCTCTAAYCCCATTTTTTTTATATCGTTTTAATGTTTATTTATTATTTACTATATATTATGGTATACCTATTTTTGTGTCTGTATTATATTATATTATACAAATTATATATTTTGTAATTGTTATGCTATATTTTAACTTTATAATTTCATAATTGTTAGAGATACAATAAACTAACTACCTACCTATTTGTGYATTTATACTAATAAAACTCCAGTTATTGGATATCACAGAACCCGACATAATTATTTTGACTCGATAAGAATGATAAGATCAGGGACGTATTTATGGGGGTGGCTGCAATGAGGGGGCTTCAGCCCCCCTCCCCCCGAAATCCAGGAATTGTTTATGAAGTCTGCTTATTATGTCCTATCAGATGTAAATTTTCTAACTCATATAGGCTGAATTGGGAATTTCAGTTGGAGAAAATAC